ACCATACAAAAAAAAAAAAAAAAAAAAAAAAGGAGAGCAAAGAGCTTGTTATGATTAGGTTTGGGTCTTAGATGTATGGTCTGGCTGCAGCTTAGAGTTTAGAGGGGGTCTTTAGCAAACAGAACAGCAAGGCAGCAGTTGGAATAGTTTAGGGAGAGGTAGTGAAAGCTCTTGTTGGAGCTGTGCACCACTGTGGGGTGGAAGAGCAGCAAGCACCAGAGCCGGACAGTGGAGGTGGGATGATAGTTCGTTTTCAGCCCTTACATCAGTACTGTGAAGCAACCCCTGATTTTTATTGCCATTTTATGAGACAACAAAACTGAAGTTGGAAAGGTTAAGTGACTTGCCCAAGGTCTCACAGCTAATAAACGGCAGAGCCCAGGCTGGCAGTCAGATTTGCTGACTCAGTACGTTGTTCAGGATGATGGTCCCTTGCTGCCTCTCCTCCTTGTAAGTGTGCTTAACAGATCGTTCAAGTGTCAGAGGGCGTGAGGGCCCCGTATCTGGGAAGTGAACAACCCAGCACCTGGATGTGAGCAGAGTGCTGTGATGGGGCTGCAGCCCTTCGCTGCCAAAGGCTCACTCTCTCTTAATTGGAAGACGACATCTATACAGTGAAGTGTGTAAATACTAGTCTTTAATGTGCAGCGTAATCATATTTGGACATATGTACACACATGTATCCGATCATCACCCAGTTCAAAACAGAAAACCTTTCTAAGCAGTGGTACCTTTCATGCGTTCAGGAGCAGGCATGCCTGTCAGACATCCTCCTCTACCGCCATTCCTCTAAAAGCTTTGGTTGGGATTGTTTTCATTCCACAACTGAGCTCCAGCTCACAACCACCGACAGAATGGTTACTTTAGGACTGAATGTGGAGGAGCACGATCGTATGGTATAACTACCTAATGAGGAGGTCAAGTTGACAGCTAATATTCTTTGTTGTCACATTTATCCAATTATTTAAATTATGTAGTATTCAAATATACAGAGAGGTATTAATATACAAATACTTGTTTTCTTTATAATAAAACCAGAGACCCTTATGCAGGAAAAGATAACGGTTTGACTCACGTGATCAGTTGGGAAAGAGAAAGACACCGTTGCACTCGCTGCTTTCCCAGATAACCGGGACGCTCTTTTATGTGATGATGCTGTCTTGTTCACTCCCTGGTTGGCGTGTGGCTGTGCTGCATCCCAAGCTAGATCCTAAGTACCTTGTGTGCAGTGACTGTGACCCACGTGTCCCCGTCCACGGTGGCGCTCCCCTCAGTGCTCAGCGCAGTGTAGCCTCAGGCACTCTGGTTAGTTTCGATTTACTTCTTTAATCGTCACACAGTCCTTCAGGCTGATGTCAGACTTTTGGTTTATGATGCAAATTATGACCAAGTGTGTATCTGGGATAGAAGAGGATCTCTAGGTTCTCCAGATTCCCAGAGTCCAATTCAGGGCTCCTGCTGCCTGGTGGAGTCTCTCTGGGGTCTTAAGGGCCTGGGCTTGCTCTATCTGACTTTTCAGAACTGTGTGGTTCACTTCTTAGGGAGCCATTTTGAGTGGCCATGGCTTTCTAGCCATGTGGAATGGCAGGTTCTAAATTTGTAAACATCTTGATAAGATTTTTCAACATCAATTAGATCCTTTTTAAAATCCTTCTATCCCCCCCCTCCAAAGAAACCTAAGATGATTATTTAAAATGGACTCCCCTCCTTCTGTATTGTCTGCAGAGCCATGTCTAAATGTCCAACATAGGCCCTGGACTCTACATGTTCGTGCTAGAATTCTCCTTTTAGTGTCACTTTCCTGCCCATGATTTCCGTCTCATTTCTCAGCATCTGCTGTATATATTGCGGGCCATTAATGCAAGCGCACCAGAGTCAGCCTCCAGCAGCTACCCTTCTAGCCTTGGTTCAGCAAAAAGAGCAGAGACCCTGACCGGCTTTGGCCCCAGTACCTGGCGTGACTGAAGGAGTCAGAGGCATCACCTATTACCCGGATGGATGGGGGCTTATGGAATCTCCATGAAGTGGACTGTTCTTGGCCCTCTTGGCCCAGTGGAATCATACCAGCCTGTCTTACCTTAGCCCCTTGCTAAAGTGTTTCAAGTATATCAGACTGTTGCCAGTGCAGCCTCCCCTCCTGCTAAGACACTTTAAAACATCCCATACCCACGACTCCCAGGACCTCAACTGAGTGGAAAAGATAGTGCTAATAGAAGTAGTGCATAAATAGAAATTTGGGCCAAAATGTGTCTCCTTTAGTGTTTGAAAATGTAGTAAGGAAACTATGTTAAACGTTAGGCATTTTCCCCCTTTGGAACTGTGTGTTCCCTCTCCTTCCTCTCAGGATACCATGAAGGTAAGTTGGAGTCACTTCCCCCTTCGGGAACATATAAAGTATCATCTTTCAGATTTCTTTGAGTCAGCCTGAGAAGTCTCTGCAGATCTCAAACTAGACCTCATCTCTATTTCACCCCTAACCCATGTTTGACATTTACTTTCTGAATGGCCAAAGGATCCTCTCTAACCAGGAGGTGCTAGCTCAGATGGCACAGCCAGCACCGCAGCAGGGCATACTCAGGGACATGCAAGGGGTGTATCTGTCTGGCCCTGGTGGCTGAATAGGAGAAATGATCAAGAGGCACCCATCTGGATACCTGGAAGGAATGCAGCCACGCTGCCCCATGCCTTCCAAGCTGCCGTGGCCACAGCTCAGTCACTTTTGAAGACACAGTAGTCCAGTAAGGCTCATGTACTGTGGGAGTTATTGGTGGGTCTCTCTTGGAAAGCAGCTTCCTAAATACACTGCTAGAGGAGATTTCAGACAAAAGAGAGTGGCTCAGGTGATCTGGCCCAGGACACAGTCAAGGGCTCCCAAGTTGCCACACGTCTGTGAGAAAGGGCTGAGGAATATGCTAGAGCCTTAGGCCCGGAAGTCAGGTAGCAGGAGGCGGTCAGTGTTCATGGGCATCTTCGCGGCTTTAGTCGAGGCTCTTTAGTACGGACTCTCAGTACAAGTTCAGATTTCCTATCTCAGCTCATTTAGAAGCTCACTTCAGCCCTCCTCCCAACCCACTCTCCCATCTCAGGAAAGCTGAACCATCCCGATGTCTGAACGGGCCCCTCGGGTTACGTTTCTGTCCAGCACAACACCCTTGCTTTGTGTCTGTGATTTGGGGTGCCCACTTCTTATTTCTGCCTAATGCCATTCTTGTGTCTTCCCTTAAGCAACTCTGCTGATGAAACAGGCCTGGCCACAGAACTCGTCTTCCTGTGGCACTGAAGGCACCTTCCACCTCCCAGTGGACACCGGGACCGAGAACCGAACTTACCAAGCATCCTCTGCGGCTTTCAGTAAATACAGCCTGTCTCCTCCTTTCCTTGTTCCCCTTGGTTGGGACTGATTTGTTGCTTAGGAAGAAAGGAAAGGGAACTTTAAAAAAATGACATTTATAATATAAACAATTTCAAAAGGTTCTCCTACACATGCAAAAATTAGCCCTCCCCATTCAGGAAAGGATCTTTGATAATGCACCCAGCTTTGGGAGACATAAAGCAGGGAGGGAAGGAGAAGGAAGTAACCATCTGGCCCCCAGGTTTGATTAGGGACAGTTTTACTGCATTCTAGGAAAAGGACCTAGGGCAGGGTCTGAGGGCGTATGGGTCCTTGGACAGAGACGCTGCTCCCAGCACAGAGTGGCTTAGCCTCTTGACGTCTGGACCAGGTAGTTCTTGGTTGAGGAGGGTTGTCCTGTACATGCTGGTATGTCTAGTAGCATCCCAGCCTCTCTCCACCAGAGGCCAATAATGAAGCTCCACCATAACAGCCAAGAATGTCTCTGAACATTGGCCTCTGTGTGAGAACCATGCCCTTGTGGAAGCTCCACTGTGGGACTAGGGGGTGTTCCTGGACTCCTCAGGGGGCACAAAGCCACCTGGCCAGTCAGACTGGTCATCCTGACCTTGAGGCTCCATGGGGTAACCACTGCTGTCACCCTCACATCTGATTTTTAACACAAAACCACTCCACTAGGGAATGAGGACTGATGCTTAGAAATGACCGAGTATATTTTGACTTCGTATAAGGAAGAGCACGGTGGCTTGTCAGAGGGATCTAACAGAGAGCTGATTGACTTTGGATGTGGTGAGCATTGATCTCATCAGTCATGTCAGTGGGGACTAGACCAGTCCTTGGAGCAATGTGACAGACTAGTTCTAATGGTCTGTGGTTCAGTGAACTTCTAATCTACCAAGTAAATAGATGAAAAGATCGTGTGTGTGTGTGTGTGTGTGTGTGTGTGTGTGCACATTTTCTTCTCTAGAAAGCATCCAGTATCATTTCCTCCTGTTATGATTGGCCTAGATGTGAATAGAAGCATATGTTGATAGAACATAGCTCAGCATTTGGAAAATATGCTTTCATAATCACCCTCTCACTTCATCTCCACTATAATCCTATTAAATTATTTGGGTGTGTTTTCGTCCCAGTTTGAAAGCTGAGGCTAAGAAAGGTAATGTACCCTGTGCTATCCAGCCAGTGAGCAGCACAACCGGGGAAGGATATCACCCAGGTTAAGAGTTTTTTACTGACTTTCTCATGAAATTGATTTTTTTTTTTTTTTGAGAGGTTTTTGCTATAGGGTGCATGCATTCGCCAGAAAGACAGAGACAGAGAGACAGAAAGTGAGAAATCACTCCCCAGGGGGGATGGCCACACCACAATCCCTTCTTCTCCATTCTCCTCTCGGGAGCTTGAGCACACATGCACACGCGCCCAGCAGGAGTTTAAGCCACCAGGTCCAGGACTTGAACCGCAGTCGACTACATGGGAGTCCAGTGACATAGCCATTACACCAACTGCTGGTCCCAAGATTGATTTTATTCTTTAAGAGAGAGATGCCAGTTGTAGGGAGTTTTCCAGATACCTCAGGTAGAATTGGAAGACTTACATACACATAGTCTTCCTTACGTCTATACATATGAATACAGCTGTAGCTAGAATACCCACTGCAATGGAGCAGAAAGAGGCCTGGCATAGGAACCCGAAGAGTTGGTTCTGTGTAATTTGGAATAATTTATGACCACTCCTTTGTATTCTATTTTTTAGAGGTTTTTGCTATAGTATACACACGCTCGCCAGAGAGACAGAGGGAAATAGACAAAGTGAGAAATCATTCCCGTGTGGGGATGGCCACATCACAGTCCCTTCTCCCCTATTCTCCTCTCAGGATCTTGGGCACACACACACACACACACACACACACACACACACACGTCTTACGTGAGTTTTAAGCTGCCAGGGCCAGGTTCAGGACTTGAACTGCAGTCGACTACATGGGAGTCCAGCAATGAAACCATTACGCCATCTGCTGATCCCATACTTTCGGTTTTCCTAAATAAGGGGCTAGATTCAGTCATCTAATTATTAGACTCCTGATTTTGTCTCCTCGGTGCTGTGTGCTCGGTATCCTCGGCCCCAACACAGATCTCTGGCTGCCCTTACCCAGGAGCCAGCCAGCCTGCTTCTGCTCCTGTGCCTGCCAGGAGGGGACACTCATTCTCTCCTGTTCTCAGAGGCCGCCTTATCCACAGTTGAAAAGTCTGAGTGTTAGCAGGCCTTGCCTTCTGCCACATTGAAATCTTTCTGAAGTCACACTGAAGCGTCCAATAGCAACATCTGCTGTCCCTGGAAGGACCAAAACATACTCTTCTTTTAAGCAAGTAACGCAGTAACCTGTGCAATTTTTTATCTGAGTTAGGTTTGACTGACCTGCTCATACTCACAAAGGTTCTTCCCAGCATTTCGATTTTGTGGCTTCTAACATCGCAGAAAATCCAGGGCACTTTGACAGATTCAGCTCAATTTCATCAACACTTGTTAAGCCTGTTTATAATTAGGTCTCTTCCCTACTTATTCAGCACTCTCTTGTTCAGCTATCAACAAGGAGACTTAGGGGTCAAGGCAGGATTCAGACATAGAGCTTTGTTTTGTCCAGACGTATAAATCTGATGATCAATAAACCGATTAGTCTAAAAGGCATCCGTGATGTGAGAATCAATGCCTTTGAAGGTACAAGGGGCTCTACAGAACTGTAAAAGATTTATGACAGTGAAAGAGGTTGAAGAGAGGCTGAAAATCTTGCTAATGTACACGCTGCGCTCTCTTTATTATCCTGTTTGATGGAGCCTAAAATTATGATTAGGAACCCGAGAGAAACAAAAGGCCATCATAAACAGTCTCTGTTCCAAGGCAGAGCCGGGTCTTCCAGTGATCAAATTCCTTCTTTCTCTTATGATTTTTTTTGCCTTTGTGACATGAGGACACAAAGGCAATATAGCAAATGCCCAAGATTGGACTTCAGGGACCTTTAACTCAGAAATATCTCAGCCCAGGGCACACGGTAAGCCCTGCACTATGGGCCCAGCTGTGCACTGATTGCTGACCTATTGAGGAGAAGTCTCTGCCTTCAGGCATCAGTTTCTTCCCCTGAAAGAAGAGGGAGGGCTACAGGCTCTCTTGTCCTTAAGGCATAGTATTCTGTAGACCAAATTTTGTGACCTTTAGATTAAGAATTCCTTTTTGGGTAGCCAGGTCTCTAGTGAGTGGATTGAGTCTAAGTTCATTTGGTTAAGTCCATGAGGGCTTTTTTTTTTTTTCTTTTCTTTCTTTCTTTTTAAAAGGCAGGGTTTGGGGCCAGCAGATGGCATAGCAGTTATGTCACTGGACTCCCACATGACTCCCACATGGCCAACCACAGTTCAAATCCTGAACCTGCTGGCTTGAAACTTGTGCTGGGCGCATTTGCGTGCATACCCAAGATCCCAGGAGGAAAAGGGATCGCAGCATGGCCATTCTCCCTGGGGGTAGTTTCTCACTTTCCCTCTCACTGTCTCTGTCTCCTCTCTCTCCAGCGAGCACATTGCACCCTAAAGCAAAAACCTCTTGTAAAAAAAAAAAAGAGGCAGGGTTTTGTTATGTTGCCCAGGCTGGTGCAATTCACAGTCCTCCTGCCTCGGCCTCCCAAGTAGCTGTGACTATAGATGTGTCCCCCTGTGTCCCCATGACATTTTTACACTGAGCTCAGCAGCTTCTTTTACTTAGATGTATAAAGTAATAACCCTCGATTTCACGAGACCCAAGGTAGCCCAGGTGGTAGCCCCACTTTCCAGTGCTCCTCAAGATTATGGACAAAACCACCAGTTGGTTGTAGAAAGTCCTCTGCAGTGGTTTCCTCATAGAAGTCATTGTGAAAACTCAGACTCCTGGGGCCAGCAGGCAGCATAGTCGTTAAGGTGCTAGCCTCCCACGTGGTTGACCATGGTTCGAGTGCTGGACCTGGCAACTTGAAACACACTGTGCTTTTGTGCATGTGTGCCCAAAGTCCCAAGAGAAAAGTGGAGAAGGGTTTGTGGCATGGTCAGCCCTCTGGAGGGTGATTTCTCACTTTCTCGGTCACTCTCTGTGTCCTCAGCGAGCACATGCACCTTATAGCAAAAATCTCTTTTAAAAACAAAACAAAACAGGGACCAGCAGTTAGTGTAATGGCTATGACACTGGACTCTCAGGTAGTCAACCACAGTTCGAGTCCTGGACCCGGTGGCTTAGGCTCAGCCAGGCAGGCATGTGTGCGTGCGTGCCCAAGATCCTGAAAGGAGAATGGAAGAAAAGGGATTGCAGTGTGGCCATCCCCACGGGGGGTGATTTCTCGCTTTTTGTCTCGCTGTCTTTCTGGCGTGTGCATGCACCCTATAGCGAAAACCTCTCCAAAAAAAAGAAACAAAACAAAACAAAACACAAAAACCTCAGAGACTCAGCCATTCAGCACTGGAAAGGTCCTAAATGCAGATACATTCCCTGAGAGAGGAACTGACCTGACTCACTGACAAAACCCAGAACGAGGGCCCCACGCAGTTTCCGGGGATCCTGACACAGATATTAGGTCATCAGGAAAGTCATGATGTATTTTTTATGCAAAAAGGCGCTACGGCTTTCTTGGTGACCCAGTGGTAACCCTGAGACCCACGTAGTTAGGAGCGATGCTGAGCGTCTCCCTGCAAGCGGTCACTCTATCTTTGAGCATCTGCTCATGTGCTTGTCTGTGAAATGCAGAGGTTGCTCTGAATGATCGCTAAGATCTTTTCTAGCTCTGCATTTTTGCTTTTCCATCTCACTCTGCTGGGCACATAAGCCAGAGCTTCTTCTGCAGCATCATCTCCTTGGCTGCCAAGGGTGTTTTGGCTACTGATTTGTATTCTGAGTATGTGTGTGTCTCATTTCATAACACGAAGAAAGGGAAACATTCTCAGACAAGGTTATTCTTAGATGTGGAAACCAAATTCTACTGCAGTCTCTGGGAAGCTTTTGATTTTCCTCAGTGGAATAGTCTCAACACTTTGTAATATGGCTGTCCTTGTGGCGGAGAGGGGTTAGCGTAGCTTCCTGGGAAGATAAAAAATTCCAGAGCACATTCTCCAGGGGCATAGAGGCAAGCGGCTGGCATCCTTGCCTTGTTCATTTTAAAGAATCTTACAATCATACAGTGTTAAACCATAAAATTTAAAAATCTTAGGATCCTGGAGTTTGTGTTCTAAGTTAGAACAGACCAGAGTCGTCACAGTGTAATTTCTGATCTGTAGTTTTGCAGACCAGTCTCTGCTTGCATACCCCCAGGACGGGAAGCTTGCTAACTACACAGTGAGAGAGAGAAAATAATAATGGCTGACCTACGAGAAGTGCTTACGGCACCTCAGGCACTGTGCCAAGTGCTCTGCACTTAGTAATGAATGTATTGACCACAGAAACCCATGAAGTAGCTCTTCTGTAATTACCGTCCCGGTGTACAGATGAGGAGACCGATGTGTTCTACAGCTGTTAAGCAGCAGAGCTTAGGTTTAGGTGTAGGCGGGCAGTCTGTCCTCAGATCGCTCGTAACCACTGCGCTGCGCTTGAGAGACGGGCATCTCGGCACTCAGAGGGGTCGTGCTCTCCTGTGTAGAAGAGAGATGCACTCCACTCTGGCAGGACTGTCCACTCCTTGTTTCAGCCCTTAATTCAGGGGTCGGCACTTCCTTTTCTTTCCTGGAAAGGCCAGGTAATGAGTATTTTAGGCCTGCCATGCCATGTATGTGGTCTCTGTCGTAACTACTGCCGTAGCAGGGAATCAGCCGCAGTCTGTACGTAAGTGAAAGGTCACAGCTTTGTTTAAGTGACTACTTGCCAAGACGAGTTGCAACTGCAAGAAACCCCACAGGCTGGAGTTTGCCTGTTTTAGATGTTAGTATGAATGAAATATTCTGTGGTAAAATAAATTCGGGATATACACTTCCTCAGAGATTTGCAGTTCCCTTATCATTTAAAAACTTACCAGAATGCAAAAAACCTATTTATTTCTATTCAGCCCTATTTATTTCTATTTTATATTACTGCTTTACATATTTATGGAACCAAAGAACTGTTTTCTTTTTTTTAATAATTATTTATTCTTTATTTTATTTATTCATTCATTTATTTTTTTAATTTGACCAGAGAGAGAGAGAGGGTGAGAGTGAGAGAGAGAGGAAGTGAGAAAGCAAGCCACCAGATTCAGGACTTGAACCCTGGCCAGCCATGTGGGAGTGTCCAGTGCCTTAACCCACCACGCCACCTGCTGGTCCCCCAAAGAACTGTTTTCTTTTCTTTTCCTTTCCTCTCCTCTCCTCTCCACTCTTGTTCCCTCCTGTCCCATCCTGCCCCTTCCCTTCCGGTCCTGTCTTCTTTCATTTTTTCTCCTCTCTTTCCTCTTCTCCTTCCCTTCCCCAACAACCTTTCATATCCCTGGGAATTGATTGTCCATTGCACACACTGGGACATGCCCGCCTTCATTTTACAGAGAACCCCCGTGTTTGTAGACAGGGAAACTGCCTCTGAAGTAGAGTAGCTCTCAGATGTCTGCAGACCGAGACTCTGTCTTCCCCACAGCATGGGCCATGGGCTTCTCTGACTGCATCTCATGATTTGGTTCCAATCTAGAAGCTTAGGGGGATCTGCCCTCGCTGTCCCCCTCAGCTGACGCACTCAATTCCACTCAGCCCCTACTTGCCAGTGCTGCCTTCGCTTCAGTGTAGCCCTTCCACAGCATCGTCATTGCTGCCCATTTCCCAGACAGACTTGACCACAAAAACGTGGAACAAGCTATGGGTCCGTAAATGGAAAAATGAAGGACATGATTCCAGGAGAGAGGACAGGGCACCTTTCATGACAACTCAGCAGCAGCTCTCACATCCTCCTGAGTTCCGTGGATGGGGGTACCCAGCTAGAACCATAGTGTAGTCTCTGAGATTCAGGGCCATGTGATCACATGCCTTCACTCGGCATTAGGGTAGAAGAGATCCAGGGGCTTTAGAACCATGGAATTTTAGTGGCAAGATGGTCATTCTTAGCCTCCCAGTTTTACACAATTAGAAACGAAGTCCTAGTGACTTGGCAGTTGTCACGGCAGATTAGGGAGAAAGCCAGGCTGAAGCATCCTCTTCATCCTCTTTGCCCTCCACCCCTAGTCCCTTCTTGTAGAAAGGGCACCATGGAGCCGAGGGGGTGAAAGAGCTGAAGCCCAGAGAGGTTCAGTGTTGTCAGCCAGATCCACCCAGGATGGACCACAGGGGAAAAGCCTCTCTAGCACCTCCCCACTGGGATGTCAAAGCCAAGTCCTCCCTTTCAACATAGGAGCTTAGAGTCTTTAGAAGTCTCGAGAAAGACTTTTCTTTCTGAGCCCCAGGCCCCCTTGTATAAAGTGAGAGTTTTGGTCACGATGATCACTCAGATTTCATAGAATGGTTCTTTCTGTGATGCTGCAAGGATGTAGTCTTGTTCCCAAGAGAATCATGTTTCAGGGTCTTCCTGTGAACATCGGGTCTCTTTTCCAGAGGATTTAAAGGCAGCTCAGTGTGCGTGCGTGACCCACGGGGAGTTTCTTGGAGCCTGACTTCTCAGCTCAGCCATGACCCATTCTTTGTCCATCCTGCTGAGGTTCAGACATGGTCTGGTGTCTGGGTTGATGTGAATCTTCATGATCTCTGACGTTAGGCCCTTCAGGCCAAGGTGTCCCCAAAGATAAGATCCCCAATGGTGTTTTATGTGAGTTTTGCATCTTCAAAAGTTGGTGGGGAAGAAGGAGAACCTGGTGGAGGGAAGTTAAAAAAGGAGAGAAATAGAGGGAAAAAGCAATAGCGTGAGAGAAGTGGGAAAGCAGGACAGACAAACAGCAGAAGACATTCTGGGGCGCTGAGTGCACATAGATAGAGGAGCAATGAAGAGCAGGTGGGTAGAGGGGCTTCCGCCTGAGCGTACCTGCCTGTTGCACGGACAGCTCAGAGCCTTGGCTGTTGGAGCTGAGAGGGTCCTGCCAGAGACCATCCGGTTCCCGCCTCTTACTGTGTAGATGAAAGCCCTGAGTCCCAGAGAAATACAGTGCCTAGACTCATACAGCAGCCCTGTGCACCAGGCCTGAGGGAGCTGCCTCTGGGGCCAGGGCTGTCTGAGTGGAGCCCTGTTCTCTGTTTGTTCTCATCTGTGTTTCCAGCCTGGCTTCACCCACCCTTGACTGGGGAGTTATGACTGGGACCTGCTGGCTTCCAGTGGTGCTGTTCGACTAACTAACTGCAAGTCTCTCTCATTGCCTCGGTACAGGATATACTGCGGGGACTCCATACAAGGTCCCACCGACCCAGAGTAATACTGCTCCGCCCCCGTACTCCCCATCACCTAACCCCTATCAGACGGCCATGTATCCAATCAGAAGTGCCTACCCCCAGCAGAATCTCTATGCCCAGGTAGGTACATGAGGAAGCCTGGGCCCACCTCTTCAGTGTGTAGTGGGGTCTCCAGCGGGGGGTGAGATGGTGAGGGAGACAGAGCCGGCCCTCACTGTAGTGCCACTGAAGCAGTATCCCTGCAGTCTGCTCATGGCACCGCAGTCCCCAGAGGGGCCAGGCATGGAGTCATGTAGGTGAACAGACCCAGAATGTCAGAGGAGCACGGGCCCTTAGAGGTCACATAGCTGGACGTGTTTGCTGAGCAGGTAGCAGGTTGAGCCCTAGGGAGGGGGCTGGCTTATCTAAGGCCACACAACGAGCCACAGATTAAATCAGGGTGAGACTCCTCTCCCCACACCCCACATCTGCCCTTCCTTGATAAACTCCGTGAGCTGAGTGGGGAGGAGAAAAGTACTGGCTCTGCCACCAGCGCCCTCTGTGACCTTGGGCGAGCTCTTCTGTCTTTCTGTGCCTTAGTGCCCCCTTCTGGGCTCCTTCGTTTAGAGGCAGCGTGCACACTAGGGACTGCTATGCGACAGGGACTCTGGGCCCCACATGCCCACATTATTCTAGTGACCATTCTCCACACAGTCTGAGTGGTGAGGAGAGCACCTTTTTAGTTTCCCAACACAGACACAGACACAGACATAGGGCGGCCGGTGGTGCAGTGGTGCAGGGCTGGAGCCCCGTGGGTGGCTCAGGGCTCAGACCCCTGGCTGGAGCCCACCGGGCATGCCTGTGGTCCTGGCCGGCTAGGGGCTGCGAGGAGGAAGGCAGCGTGCCAAGGCACCGTTAGGTACTTCTCCCTACCCCCACCTCGTGGGGAATGCAGCTTTTATTTCTTTTTAACCAATTCTATTGTAGGGTAGAATGTAAACTTTTAAGAATAAAACTGAGACTCGAAATCAATTTTCCTCATTTATGGTAGGCTGCTTGGCTTCTGCTGTCAGATTGCTGGGATTACACACCCATGTTCTGAGACCTCTCTCATTATTCAGGAGAAACATGAGAGTTTCTGGGTTAAGATGATTTTGGGTCCCTGTGTGCTCCCTGTAGAGGTCAGCAGGCCTGCGGATTGTGGCCACAGGAAGTAACCACATGATCCAGGCAGCAGGGCTCACCTTCGACTGTTGTCTCTATCCTCACCTTTATGCCCAAAGGAAAATAAGAGGTGACGTCTTGGGAAAAGCTGTGACATGGTATTCAACACGTGAAGTACCAGCATTTGCACCACGAGTGAGCCTGCAGCAGGCGTGCACTGTGCTCTGAGCTCTCCAGCCCGTTCACGTGCCTGTCGGCAGATCGACCTTAGTGCCTGCCCTCCGACTATAGGCACTTACTAAAGTACAGCACAGTGAGGTACAAACGCACGCCAAACCAGGGACCGGGGAGCAGAGCTCTTAACCAGCAGGTCATACAGCAGCCCAGGCACCAGGCCGGGCAGGGTGAGAGCCTTGTTTTTCAGACGGGAGGCTGAGCCCAGCCCTGAACTGACCACAGGCATGTAGTAAGACAGCAGCAGAGCCCCCACTGGGACCGATGCCTTGTGTTCACTCATCCCCTCCGCTAGGGCCTGGGGAGGACATAGGCTCCCTTCCCTGCTCCTCTTTCCCACCTCTCCAAACGCCTGTGTGACTGAGCCTCTTCCCCAGGGAGCCTACTATACACAGCCGGTGTACGCCGCCCAGCCCCACGTCATCCACCACACCACCGTTGTCCAGCCCAACAGCATCCCCTCTGCCATCTACCCGGCACCTGTGGCCGCCCCCAGGACCAACGGCGTGGCCATGGGCATGGTGGCAGGCACCACCATGGCGATGTCAGCAGGTGAGGGCAGCAGGTGCATCAGCGTACAGAGGCATTCTGCAGAGGCGCGCGTGAGAGTCATGGGATCAATGGCAGCATGGCGAAGAAACTCTGTGCTGGGGCCCCAGGAAGCCAGAGGGGAGCCCCCTTCAGCCTGCAGGGTTGAGGGAGATTTCACTAAGAAGGGCATGCTGAGCTGGGCCTTGAGGCTGACCAGAGAGGTGACAAGGGAAGGCAGTGCAGGGAGGAGGAATGTGCATGTGGCATGTTCACAGAGTGAAAATGGCCCAGGGCACTGAGCAAGTAGGGCGCAGAGTTGGGAGGGCGCTGCAGAGCTGGCCAGAGCACATGCTGAGAAGTTTTGAGGACTTCCAGGTAATGGAGCCTGCAAAGAGTGTCCATAGGGAAGGGCCGGGTTGGGTTTAGATGTTCTCTGGCTGCAGGGTGGAGGCAGGATTAGACGGGGAGAAGCTGGAAGCACATATGTCCCTGAGAAGGCTGTAGTGTAGGACATGATGCCAGGACTCTGGTAGCAGCAGGGGCCTCAGAGCGAGGGCGTGGGGGCAATGTTACGTAGCAGGCAGGAGCTTCAGTACTGTCTAGTCACTAACTGCAAGGGACAAGAGAAGCAGGAGTCTCCGGGGACCCCTTCCCTATTTGTGGTTGATGCCAAAATCAGACCAGAGCCCTGTCCTAAGGAATCCTGAGGATGGGGTGGGGAGAGCAGATTAAGGGATGAGGTTTAAGGGGGTCTTTGGATGTTCTGACACCTAGGGAGAAACATGGGTGTCCGATGAAGAGCGCGAGAAGGTAGAGGGTTGTGAATAAGCTGGGGAAACTCAGCTTCTAAGACCCAGCGAGGTCACCGTGAGGAAGAGAGCAAATGGTAGAGCAGGCACTCGGAGTTTGTTCTGCCCTAATGGGGTGGGGGCGTTAGGGCCTCTCATTTCCCAGCAAGAGGCCGGAGATGTACCGTCTGCCAGCTTTGTTGTTCGGGTCCAAATGCTGATAGATCAGACCACAGCTCTGCTCTCAGGAACCCCCAGTTCGTGAGAGAAATGCAGCCACACACACCCACAGTTATGCTCAGTATGTCTGTGCAAGAAGAGGGAATGACGGTGGATTCCGTCCTCGAGCATCAGAAAGGGTGAGGCCCGCAGGGTGGGGACGGGCAGACAGCAGTTCTCCAGGCAGGCCAGGGTGGTGAGGGCCCAGGCGGGAAGTGGTCGTGCGAGAGGCCCTGGTGCTTCCCGTCAGGTTTACTCTCCTCTCTGGATGCCCAGGTACCCTGCTGACTACACCCCAGCACACTGCGATTGGGGCTCACCCTGTCTCCATGCCGACCTACAGGGCCCAAGGAACCCCCGCATACAGCTACGTGCCCCCGCACTGGTAAAGCCTGCAGCCCATCCAAGTGAGTCGGGCAAGGTGGGGGAGGCGGATGTACACAGGGATCCCCTCCAAGACCCAGGCTTGAGCCTGGAACATGGGTTCACTTTTAATAATAGCTGTCAGGGCCAACAGGCAGTGTGGTGGTTAAGGTGCTGGACTCCCACGTGGCCAACCACAGTTCAAGTCCTGGACCTGACAGCTTGAAAATCACGCTGAGCACATATGCACGCACGCATGCCCAAAAGCCTGGGGGGAGAAAGGTGTGGTCATCCCCTCCCCTCCTCGGGGCAGGGCTGATCTCTCACTTTTCCTCTCATTGTCCCTTTCCAGCAAATGTATGTGCCCTATGGCAAAAACCTAAATTAAGAAAAAAAAACTGTCACTTTACATATTTTATCTCATGATTCTACAGTCTGTGAAATAAAGATCATTAGCTCTGGGGCCAGTGATAGTATCGCAGTTACATTGCTGGACTTCCACGGGGCAGACTATAGCTCGAGTCCTGGACCCAGTGGCCTGAAACTCACACCGAGTGTGTGTACGTGCATGCCCAAGATCCCAGGAGGAGAATGGACAAGGGCTTGCTATGTGGCCATCTCCCCTGGGGGGTGATTTCTCGCTTTCCCACTCACTATCTCTGTCTCTGTCTCTCATTCTCTCTCCAGAGAGTGCACATACCCTAAGGCAAAAGTCTCTATTTAAAAAAAAAATCATTGGCTCTGTCTAGTACAGGTAACTGTCACTTAGTCAGGAAAAGACTTGAACTCTGGTCCTCTAGTACTAAATCCCATGCTCTTCACCTTAGTGTCCTCTGAATTCTTTTAACTGTAAGCCTGTATCTGCAAGTGAAATCTTACCCAAATCATACACTAGCCCTGGCAGAGGCCTTGAGCTGGCCCACTGGCAGCTCTGTCACTGCCCTCAGCAGCCCCTGGGGAACACCTGTGAACCGCAGGGCTCTGGAGCATCCTTGAAAATCCTCTGCCCTCCACCTGCTCCAGGGACCCTTGGCACCAGAGCAAAACTTCACAGGCAGGAAGCAAGCAGCTCCCCGGGGAATGCATAGAGGGTCCCGTTCAGGGCATCTCCTCAGGGGATGGGGCCTAGAGGCTGCCTGGAGTGGCCCCTGGAGTGTCACTCATCGATGGCTCTCTCCTCCCTCCCAGATCTGGAGTCACACATTGTATGCAACTACTCAAGTCTTACACCGGTGCTGGAGCGGTCCCCCAGCAGCACCACCTCTATCTGCAAGAAGAGACAGCGGAAGTGCAAGGGTCACTTTATGCATCTTTAATGGTTTTGGTTTTTATTTTTGGTTTTTGTAAAAGCTGCTTTTTCTAATCTCCTGCCTCTCCCCCACTGCCCCCCTCTTAGCCGCTGCCCCTCCAGCTGTCCTCCCTCCTCCTGCCTGACCAGGTCACATCCTCTCTGCTCTTCTCTTCTTCCCCAAGTATCCTGTCCTGGGGATCCCGGTCTAGCGGCAGAGAGTGAGGTTTATTGCAGTGGTTCAGCCGAAGGCCATTTCATTTGCAGAGCATGAACCAGGGTGGCTCTTAGAGCCCGGGAAGGAACTCGGAGCTGCTGAGCAGGCCGCATCTCTGGGGGTTGTTCCTTTACGTTTCTGTCTTAAAGTAAAATTAGTTCAGGATATTACCATGTCCTGGCACAAATGAAATGTCTTCTGAGAACCATCGCAACAGGCCCAGAAGAAAAACACCTGATTCTGTAGGAGTGTTATTAGCAGCTTAATATCCCAGGCTGCGCACTGGGGAAACCAGAGTCTTTGGGAGAATTTGGGCAGGGGGCACTTGGGGAAGGAGAGGAAGAAGAGGAAGGAGGTGTTTGCCTGACAGCTTTGGTTTGAAAGGTCTCTGGCCAAACTGTCTGGGCCCAAACCTTCTGATTTGCACAGTGGTTTTAACTGACCTGGCACTTCCTTGAAAGGCGGTTTGACCTCAGAACTGCCAAGCAGCTGTAGGGTGGTGGGATCCCTGCGTCCTGAGGCCATGGAAGGTCAGGTGCCCTGTGTGATCCAGACCTTGGCCTCCGCTCCCCCATGGACCCACTCTGATGAGGAGCTTCCTCCTGATTCGAGTGGGAACCTAGAGCATTTTCCTCCCTTTCCCTCTGCCCTTCTCGGTGCCGGGGCCCACCTGTCTGCCTGTGGGGCTGGCAGGCAGGCCAGGCTCTTGGTTACCCGTGCCACTCATGGCCAAAGTGAAGCAACCACATTCCAAGTGGGTGCTGGCGGCTCTGACGGTCAGGATAGTGAAGGAAAAGCAATAGCAATAAACATTTCATAGACTCATGGAACTGAAGGGACCTTTAGCAATCATCTCATCCATTCCCCTATTGACAGATGAGGAAACTGAGGCCCAGAGAAGAGATGTCTTCCCTAGACCTCGCAGTAAATTAGCATTAAATGCAGCCTTCCTGTGTAGTGGCTGTTGCCTACAAAAATGTACCTAGGGATGGAGTGGCTTGGTTTTGTAAAAATTAAGTCAGCAGCACCCACACCTGGCGAGCTCTGGGACAGTCTCTGGGCTCTTGTTTCTGCTCTTTTCCTCTGCGGACTCCAAAGATGGGGTTGAAGACTGGGCAGAGGCCCATGGGGGCAGATGGCAGGAACAGAAATTGCAAATGAAGAAATAGCATTTGGAAATTCTGTGAAGACATCTGGAACTTTCGTCCAGCACCTGCCTCCCCTCCTAGGAAAAGGAGCAGGTGGGCTGACTGGAAAGGCAAGGCCGTGCTTGTAGGACAGTGGACCCTCGTCCTGAGAGGAGAGGAAGAGGAGCGAGAGTGGGCGTCATCAGGAGAGGACAAGGACATGCCCAGGAGACTTAGGCTCATCTGGGAGAAGAGGGGCCCCAGGACAAGGAGGCCCTGCTAGTCTGGGCCAGGAGCTTGGATTGCCCAGCACCGCCCACCTGCCCCAGCCTTGGCTGGGCCAGCAGCCCCTCTGGGGTGGGACAGGAACATTTCACTGTACAAAATGGGATCATTGACAACATTCGGGACTTTTAAATAACTATTTTCATTTTAAATCCATGCACACTTGGACATACCCTTCTCCCTACCTACCATGTCTCTAGAGGAAAAATATCAGGAAACCCTTGGGCTGGGAGCCCCTAGAAAGCTGCCTAGCATTCCCGTCTCACCCTTGGTCCAGGGCCGAGTTGAGGGCCCACCTTCCTGTCCTCCCAGGGAACTTCAGGACCAGTGAGAAAAATTCAGCTGTTCGAATGGTCTGTTCTGGGGTGCTGACAAAGTTTCATTCTAAAACAGCAGAAAGTTTTCCAGTGTTAATCTGGCTTTTTTTGCAGCTGTCTCCCTCCCGCCCTCTCTGACTTTGTAAAGGTGGGTGAAGGTCATTCTAGATGATGTCATACGTCTTTGAAAAATGCCAAAATGACAATAATGATGGTGGTAATAGGCAATCTTTGCATTTGTCAGGTGTCATAGATTACAGAGGGCTTCACAGCCTTTAGCTTACAGGCCCTGAGACAGACAGGATCAGAGGTAGGACACCCATTTGACAAATAGGGAAACGGGCTATCAAAGGAAAGGGAAAGCCATGTGAGCCAAAGGCTGGTCTCCTGATGGGCTTCCCAGGGCCCTGCTGCCCCCTGGTGAACCAGTTAGGGCGAAACCACAGGCAAGAGGGGGAAAGGCAAGACCTTGGAATGACCTTGCAGTGTCTGTTCTCTGTATGCCAGCAAGTCAGAGCTCACATCCATACCTCACCGTTCACAGAGCAGCTGGACACACATCGTCTGCTTTAGCCCTGTGACATAGATTTCGTTCCTCCCATTGGAACCATGACGACACTGAGGCTTGGAAAAGCAAGAGGACTTGCTGATAAGCAGCAGAGCCCCTGGAAGCCCAAGCTGCTGCTCCCTTTTCCCCTCCCCCTCCAGATGACCACACCCAGGCTGCGCACTGAAGCATTTGTGTTCTGCACCCCGTCTTGGCCCCTAGTCTGTAATTCAAGATCAAAGGGAGTCCCAAGGTGAAAATAAGGCACTGAAAGGCTGTAATCTGGAAGAGCCGGCTCAGCTCATCCGAGCCTCGAGCCTCGGTTCAGCTGGCCGTGCCCTCTTGCTTTGACTGAGATCCACAAGCCCGACCAAGCTTGGGGGGGTCACAGCAAAGGGACTGGCCAGGAGAGCAGGGGCAGTCTCTGGTAGGACGGGCATAGTCCTGGAAGGTCACAGGCATCTGGCAGGAGGTACCGGAGGTTCCAAAGATGCTAGGTGACCTGGTGTCAAGCCCAACAGAGGTCAGAGTTGGGAGGGCCTTCTCACGGCAGGAGAGCAGGCAGGCTAGAGAGGACAAGAGTGTGCCCGAGTGACAGTGAGCTGCGTGCTGGCCCCAGTGTGAATCCTGTTCTCTTTCTTCCACTGCCTCTTTCTGGGCATGACACCTTGCTGGCCAGAGTTAATAAAGGTGGTTCCAGCCACCAGCCGGAAGTCAACTGGGCTTCCCCCACGTCTACCTGACTCTCTTCCTACCAGCCCAGGAAGTGAGAATCTGGAGCTGGATTGCCCCCAAGTAGTGAAAGCCTGAAGCATAATCTATGGCCATGTTTTGAAAAGAAAACAAATTTTTTTTTTCACATGAGATAGGACAGTTGCTGTTCCTTCTGTTCTCTCCTGCAGTGACCCTGAAGTGCATGTCCCCATCCCTGAATACTCAGCAGGGACACACTCACCTGTCCAGAGCTTGGTATGCAAAGCACTTTGACAGTTGATTGCCAAACTCCCCTTTTTGTAAACAAAAGAACTAAGGATCAGAAAACTTAAGAGACTTGCCAAAAGTCACTCAGCTCTGAAGAGCTAAGATTCCTGAAATACTCTGCTGTTTCTGCTGCCACCTGGGGGTGGTGGTGGTGGGGGGTTAATGGCCAGCCTGGGAAGGGAGGGGCTGCTCTTCCGCCCCAAAGGAAGCTTTATGGAGACGTGGGAAGCTCAGCGCATTTGTATGAACTTCTGCTTTGGGTTGGGACCTGTGATGGGCCCTGGGGATCCAGAGGCAGGTCCAGCTGGCAGCATAGGAAGATGAGAATTGGCAGCAAAGGCCTGACTTGAACAAAACACTGGGGTAACGATGCCAGGATTGAAAATATGTTTGAGGACAGCACCAGGCATTTTACTGTTGAAAAGCTCCTGTCCTTGGCAAGCCTGTGCACTCTGGCTTCCTGTCCCCTGAGTGCCAGCCCAATGTCCAGACTCAGTGGGTTGGCTCTTCGAGGGGGCCTGGTGTAGCCCTGAAAGACCCCAGGCCTACTTCTCCCTGGGCAAGAACCAGGACCTAGAGAACATAGAGCAGGTGGGCTCTTGCACCCGAGTGTTTACCCACCAACCAGCTTGTTCCAGATTTGAGTCATCTCACTCCCAGCGGTCCGGGAGCCACATGAAGCATCAGAGAAGGATAGGACCCTTGGTCACCTGGTTCTGGCGTCCTCACGGTGCAGACAGGACTGTGGCAGGGTTCCAAGGTCGGCTGAGCCAGGCCTGGGGCCCTCCATTCCTTTGTTCCGCTGTGTGGCCAGAGGGGACAGGCCACTCTGGGCCTGTGGTCTGTCTTGCACATTTGTCCAGAGCTGTGGCGTTACTGCTAAATTGCAGCAGAGGGAGGGTCTGTGGGAGCTCTGCTCTTCTGCACTGTGTCCCCCACAGCATTCCGTGTGCAGCCCCAGCTGCTTGCCTAGCCTGGGAATCCAGAGAAGGGAAGTCTGGGTTGTAGAGTGAGCTCCGTGCTGAGTCCAAGCCCCCCGACCTCTGACTGCAGGGCCCAGTGGGAGACCCAGCCAGGCCGAGTGAGCAGAATCCACCGCTGAGCCTCTGAGCGCTCAGCCTTTTATCAGCATGCCAGGCTGGCTGCAGGGTTTGTCCCGACCTCCCGTGTCCCCCTCCTAGAGTACTCTCACTTCTGAACTTAGGCTTTATACAGTTCCGGGACCCAGCCTTCAAAATTCCTGGCAGGCTGGCTTCCGCATTTCGTGGCCAGACTTGCCTGAGCCAACCTGGGTCCCATTCCCTCATCTTCTCCAGTGGGTATTTTCTATCTTGTATGCTGAGTCCACCCAGAGGCCAGCTGAGGATCACGGGAGTTGGGACTTGCTGCCACCGAGCTGGAAGGTGACACAGCAGCTCTTGCTTCTCTGTGGCTGCCCGATGGCCCCTGGGTATCCTTGCTGTGCTAGTGAAGCCCTTTACCTACTCCAGCCCTGGTAGAGGGAGACTGAAGAGAACAGAAAGTACCAGCCCAAGGAACCAGATGGGTGAAAGCAGCTCAGGGTCTGACCTAAGCAAGACCAGCATCTCCAGGCCCCAGCCTTCCTTATGTCCAGGAGAGTCGGGGAAGGTGGGGCTGGCCCAGAGACCTCCTCCTCAGGCCAGCCAGGCTGTGTGGACCTGTGGCGTGACTCCAGCTCCTCCTTACCCAAGGGGTGGTAAGGCCAGGCCTCTAGGAACATGGAGTTGTCTTTAAAGGCCCTGGGGCCTGTCTCCATCCTGACTCCAAGGCGTCCACATCCCTGTTTCATATCACGTGACAGAAACCTGTTCTCATGGCATGTAACATCCCTGTGAAGAGAGCGTTGTATATGATTTTGTATTTTTTAATTCATTTTAATCTACAGGTTGGAATCTAATTTTTAAATTTTATTGGAACTCACATTTTAAAAAGAAATAAAAACATTTAAAATAATAATAATAATAATAAACCTTTGACCGGTGTCTTCCAAGTAGTCTGATCAGAGTTTTTAGGTGTTTTCAAAACACAGCCTGGAGTATAAGACTGGAAAGCCCACAGCCACGCTTGTGTGTAAGAAGTGTAAATCTGGTTTTGTTTTGTTGTTTTGGATTCTTTTGGGTTTTTCTTTCGTTTTGTTTTGAAGATCAGATAGTGATCGCTCTGAAAGATTGAAGCCAAGAATTTGTAACTATGATATTTACTGTAAGCTGTAGAACATTAAATAACTATTAAAAAAAGTTTCCAAAAAAAAAAAAAAAAAACCCAACCAAAAAAACCCCAGGGGAC